CTACTGAAGACTTTCCTCAAGGCAGCTCAGTCTGGCCTGTGAGGCCCTTTGCCCTGGCTTGGTCAAGACCCCCTAGCCATGTCCTACTGCAGTGTTCTCTTGTTCCCTGTGTGGCCTGAGCTTTAGAATTAGAATCACCATTACCATCTTGAGAGCTGGAGGGCCTCTGAGAGATCACTGTTTTCATATCTCCCTCCCCACCTCCTCCCGACGACTCTATAGATGGGGAAACTGTACCCAAGGTCACACAGTTCATAATTGGCAGAGTCAAACCTTAGGTATCTAGCATCTCAAATAATACATCTTCCTGTCATACCTTCTTGCCTCCAAGAAAATAACCAGCATCTGCCTCCAGCTCAAGAAACAACCGGAGCAAGCAGGTGGTAGTGATCAATACAGACCGGGACGACCTGGCTCAAGGGGCCAGGCTGACCCTAGTTGAACCCCAAGCAAGTAATGAATCACAGAACTTCCTAATTTCCCTCCAACAGAATGTTATCACTGGCAGATACCCACTCCAGATGGGATCCTCCTCCTGGCTAGAGCACTGACCCATGCATGGAAACATGCTTACCATGATTCCATGCTCCTTGCTGGCTAAGGCAGGCTGTAAATGGTGTGAGGATCCTGGTGATGAGCTGCCCACCAGCTGGGTAATCCAGTTTACCAAATTTCTTCTTGGTAAGACCTAATCCACATTTCTGGCCTGATTTATATAGGGCCTCTTAGCACACTAAAATCTGGCTAAAATCTGTGCCTGTGCTGGGAGAGACAGAATCAATCACAGATGCTGTCCTCCCAGCGGAGCTCATCCACACGCTTGGCATGAGGAGAACTGAGTCCAGGAGAAGAAATGAAGTCAAAGAAAAAAGGCAGACATGAAGGGTAGGGGAGGGAGCAGCCATGCTTCCTCCTGCCCATCCGGCTCCTGAAGACGGGAGACCACGGGATGCTACCGATGGCGCTCCCTGTCCGTATCTCAAGGAAGGCTCAGCCTGTGTGGCTGAGAGGTAAAGAGGATAATCCAGACAGCTACGGTGTCGCCAAAGCCAAGGAAAGAGGGTTTTTCAAAGAGGAAGTGGTAGATGATGTGAAATGCTGTAGGGAGTTCACGACAGTTGAGGACTGAAAGGTATTCGCTTGATTTGGCAACCGGGCAGTCACTGGTGACTTTTATGAAAATCTATATAGAGGATGAAAGAGTGACTAGGAAGAATCAATAAAAAATATTTTGTTAAGAGAAACTTGGCTGACAAGGGGAAAATGTAAGTGTAACAGACTCTAAGAAATTTTATTTTAATCTTGGGGAGACCTTTGTTTGTTTGTTATCTATGTGGAGGTAACCAGTGGAGAGTGTGGCTGAAGACCCTGGAAAATGGGAGCAGTGAGATAAGCGACGGAGCAAAGTCTTGGAAGACGCAGAGCAGGATTGAAGAAGTAGAGCACCAAACAAGAATAACTGGTAGGGAGCTAAGGACAGCTACACAGAGGGAAGGGCGGGGAGAGAAGCACATGAACAGTAAAAGTCTTGTTTTAGGGTCACTCTTCGGTGAAGTAGGCAGTGAGGCCAGTCATTTGCTGAGAGAAACGATAAAGGGCACGCATGGAAAGCAGAGTGATAACAAGTCAAAGATACACCAATCAATACTGAGAGCCCAACTGAGGCTCTCAGCTCTGAATCTGTCATGCTCAGGAGCCCAGAAAGAGGGAGCTAAACACAGGCTGATGCAGAACATGGAGGATGGTTGATAGTTCCAGCAAAAGTTGGAGAGGATGAGGAAGTTCAGGATGCTGAAAAAAGCATCAGTGCATCACGGGACATGGGTGTAGGCTCAGGGGAGGAGGAGTCCAGGAGAAGACTGAAGGACTGGGAGAACAGAGAGCTCAGGTCTTGGAAACGTGTTGAAGGAGCAGGCAATGTAATTAATAGCAGTGGAAGAGTGGGAGAAGAGGAAGCACAAGGGATGTTAATCCAGAAAGGGCAGAGTCTCAGTTAAGGAGTTCAGGAGAGAAGATCGTAGGTGACGCCATGGAGTGAAAGAGAAAGCAGAGCAGAGCCCAGGGACATACAGGGAGGGGTCTATGTCTTAGGAGCAAGGCAAAGACCTGTGGCCAGAATTGGGTACAAGGAGCCAGAGTGCACCCGGGTTGATGGCAGGGTTCTCTGTGAAGACCTACAGAGCCTACAAAGGATCTGGGGGCTGCCACTTACACAAACAGGCAAGATGTATAGCTGGCAACTGCTGGAAGTTAGGCAGAGTCAACCCACCTAGGTTCCAGAAGAGAGCACTACAATCTCCTTTGCATCAGCTGAAACCAGCCCATTCTTCTGTTTCTCAGCATATCCAAGAAACCCAATTTCTCTTCTAGGACTGCATTCTGTACCTTAAGAAGCCAGAACTCATTGCATTTTCACTTCATGACTTTGTCAATGACCAAAGGACTTAACTGATTCCAAAATGGAACCATTATAGGAATAAGTCAAAAATGGGATTAGCTCAAATGTTAACAAAGAGCCATTAAAGTCAGTCACTCAGCCAGTAGCCTTTTGTTTAATTTCTAAAACACCATGTTGTTTTCTGCATGCAAAAACAAAACAGAACTATGACTTACAACACTGGTGTTAAGTACACAGGAGAAGCCAGGAGAGGGCAGTGCTGTGGGGTAACCAGCGTAGGAATGGGGGGGCCACACACTCTTGGAGGAAAGGACACCGTACCTCCCACCCTCCCTGCTCCGGTGCTGAAAGGGAGCTTCTTGGCATGCAGGGTTCTCAGCAGTGGGAAGGGAGCATGTGACTCTCTACCACATCACTAAGGTCCCCTGGCCCAGCAGGCTACAAGTGGGAACAACACTGATACAAGGGAAGCCAAGCACTTAACTAAGTATTTCTGCTTCGTATTTGTGGTTTCCAACTGGTCTTGGGGGAAGATGTCAATCAGGTTTGAGACTGTCACAGCCCTCACCCAGCTGCCCAACACAAAGCACCGTGAAGGTGATCCAAAGAAGGTGGGAAGGTGACCCACACAAAGGAAAAATGACCAAGAGGAGTAATTAATGAGATAATTACAAAGAGAACCTTTCCAAGCCAACTAAATAGAGAAAAAGATTCAAAAATTGAAAGGGAAATGACCAGAGCCCAAACCATAAAGTCATGTGAGCTCCAAAGAGCAGACGGTTACACCCAAAGATTGCCTGGCTACTGGAGTATTCAAGACTTAGTTACCCCAAACTAGAAAACATGATTACGGAAGCCCATCTGCTTAGGAGAGCTTGGCATGTGCTGGTGAGAGAATGGTAAGTCAGTGGGCATAGTCTGCTTTGAAGTGAAGATGCTCTCTCAGCCTGGGTGGAAAGGAAATGAGCAGTTCCATCCACTCACAAGGAGAGAAGAAATGTTTTATCTGATCAAAATGTCCCCATTAACAAGAGCCCTACAGACAAGAATTTCCTTAAACTGCATCTCTTAGCAAAAATAAAGCCATGACCTGCAGTTCCCTTGAAATTAGCTAAGCCATGACAGGACCAGGGAGAGCTGTCTCCAGGCCAAGCCAACATCAGCAACAGCTTCCTTCCCAACCAAGCCCTTGCCAGTGAGGTGGCCTGACCCCCAGCATCTGTGTATGCCTTTTCCTCCCAAACTCCTTGCATGGACCATGACCATCTATCTGAGATGTAGCCTGGAGCTCTGCTCCTGTGGCCCCCAGAACACTTCTCTCTGAATTCCTGGGGAAATAAAGTTCTGAAGTTGCTTCAGGGTCACTAAAGGACACTGAAGAGGCTTCTATCAGTTTTACATCCCTGACAGAACTTCCATGAATGCTTAGGGCTGGCTCCTGCCAGTCCCTCTGACCTTCTCCAGCCTCCAACAAACAAAAGAGGGTGGGGGGCTATCAACAGAGTCTTGACTTTTTCTCAGCTATGGACAGCCTGAGGGCAGGCGAGTCAGAGGACTCACTTCTGATCTTTGGCTCTATGAAGTGGAGGAGTTGAGAGCTAGGATCTCTAAGCCAGAGGAGAGACCCAGCAGAGGGAGCTGGTTATGGGTCATTCTCCTTGGCCCAGAATCTCTGTATGTGAAGCAGACAGCAGCTTCCTCACAGTTCTCCCAAGCAGAACTCAGGGTCTGGACCTCTGAATGGGCATAATGAAGGGGTGACCACCAATAATCACTTCTAAGAAGCCAGTTCCGACACCAAAGAAGAGCTCTCAATCCAAGGAGGTGGCACAGAGGGCACGCTCTGAAGTTAAAATCTTCTTAAGCCTGTAAGTAAGATCTGACCTTGAAGACCTAAGTGGTCTCTGCATGGCCCCCCAGCCCCGTCAAGAATGCCACACTATCCAGAGCTCCACAGTGGCCACCTGCATCAGCATCAGGAGAGGGGACGTGAAGAACAAATACCCTGAAAACCGTGAGAACCCGAATAGGCACCAGTTGAGACCTGTGGCCTCTAGAAACCTCATTACCACACCCAGGGCAGGTGCCTCTGTCCGAGCAGGCCAAACAAAGGCAAACAGTGACAGTCTTTGGCTGTGCTAGGCCAAGGATCACAGGCCTGCGATAGCTACAACAGAACCTCTCTCCCTTCTTTTACCCTCTTCTGGGCCCAGGAGGAATTCAGATACATACACTGCTCCTGAGCCCTGCACACTGCAAGGTGAGAAATGTCTGCCTTCATCAGCAGGGAGAATTCACCAAGGAAGGATGGTCCTCCTGACCCTGACCAGGCGTGGTCTTGTCAAGTGGACCCTACACATCTGACTGTTCTGCTCACAGGGAACACCCCCTCTTTGCTGTTTATTACTGAAATCTTCTCTGTAGTGGATGCACTATGGCTCCCAAATAAATGCTGTACGATGCAAAAGGCAAAGAAGGGCAGTACAGGCTCGACAAGAAGCGTCTCACGTCCAAGATCCAAGGAGAATGCGCTGAAAGGTGGGGAGGAGGGGTCGACAGGAGGGGGTACCAGCTGCCAGAGTGCTTGGTCTCCTTCCAGCCCTCACACTTGGGAGATGCTGTTGGCCAGGCGGAACGACACTCGTTTTGCTCTTTCATTCTCCTGAAAGAAAAAAAAAATTTAGAATCAGGATGCCCAAATGTAGGGTTCATTAGTGTGAAAAGTCCAGACTGGGATTCCCCAGGGCCAAAGTGTTTTATTCCACCCCAAGGATGCAACTTCAAAGCTCACTGAAGCCACCAAGCACTGTGTGCCAAGTGTCACAGGCAACGGGAGCGGCTGGTGGGACCCTGGCACAAGGTGGGCAGGCAGTACATGTCAGTGGGACGAAACAGCATGGAACTGATGTTTCAGGTCTGCACGAGTGAGACCAAACCAAAGGTCAGAGGAGATCTCTTTCCTGCAAGCAACACCTCTCCTTCCTTCTCTACACCAACGGGCTAAGAAGACTCTCCCTTTGTTCCAACCCAAGTGGAGATCAGGATTGAGACCAGAGCATCACAGTGTGGAATAACCAGGAGTCAGGAGACCTGGTCCTGCTGCAAATTTTCGGGGTGACCCAGGCAGGTACATCCACCTCTCTGAGTTCCGAGCCTCAGGGGTCACTGGAGTTGAGGAGCCCCACACTGCTTTGCCTTCCACTTAGGCTGAGGGGTGGGAAGTGAGGGCTCCTTGTCCCTGCTCTCTTGTGCCACCTGAGCTGAAAAGCCTCACTTCAGGTTACCCTGTACCTGCTGCATGGGTGCCCTCCACCTGCCCAATCACCCACTCACCCACCCGCCTGCCAGCTGGCAGCAGCTTCTTACCATATGTCGCCGCCGCCTCTTGGGCTGGATGCCCTCCTGCATGTAGTGGGGCCACGGAAAGCCCTGGGGAGTGGAATACCCGCTCTCACTAGACACCTCCTCAGAGTCTGAGTCCTCCTGCTGTGGCTGAGCAAACCGTTTCTCGGGGTAGATCTCCTTCAACCAGCCCTCAAAGAACACTTCCAGGCAGCGGCCTGCCTCTGCAACCTCAGAGTCGGGCTGAAGGGGGAGGAGAGCAGTGATGATCTGGCCCTGATCCACCAGCACATCCCTTCCAGGCCCCTCAAGAGCTGTACAAAGAGCACAAAGCCTTGCTGGGTCTCCTGGGTGGCTCAAACTCTACATTTTCTCAGGACGCAGGATAATCAGTTCAGTATCATCAGCTCTCCAAGCAGAAGTGACCCTGACAGTTACCCACAGATAGCAGGTCACTAACAACCCCCATTTTCCTCCTGAGTTCATGCTGAGGCCCAAACGTGGGAGAGGGTTTATACACAGTCGCTACAGTAGGCCCCGGAAGGTCTGCTCCCAGGTCCTCATGGCAGCCCAGGCCCAAACCAGGCACCCCTATCCAGCCACGACAGTCCTGGGGGGCACTGGAAATAGAGGAGAGGGAAAACAGGGAAGACGTACATAATTGAACTTAGCACAGTTCCAGAACATGAGGCGGACGTCTGATACCACCTCCTCCGGCGTGGTGTAGTGAGCTGGGTCCTTCTTTTGCAGCTTCCTCCGGATGATCGACAGGTCCATGGGCCTCTTAATAATCTGGTAGTAATGTCGCGCCTTGGGGGAGAAGAGGGGAAGCAAATAGGAAGAGAGAAGTGGAGGAGAAAAGTAAAGGAAAAGAAGGAAGAAGAGATAGAGAATGAGTTGGAGTAGAAGTAAAAGAACACAAAGAAGAGAAAGGCAGCAGGAAGCAACGTGTGGAGGGAAAAAAGAAAGGGAAAGGAGGAGTGTACATGTCAAGCAGGTCTGACGCAACAGCAGCTGTGGGGGGCTGTGGTGGCCAGGCCGCCAGGCCCCTAGATCATGCACAAATTACTCCTACTTCCAGCAGGCACGCTCCAAGCCTGCCCTGGGCCCCACCGCAATCCACTCCAGGCCCAGACCTTCTGCAGAACCAGCGAGTCCTTCCTTACCAGCGGGCTGACAGGTTCATGGAAGGGCAGGCTGAGGCTGTTGCAGCACAAGGACAGTACCAGCTTCTCACACTTCTGCAGAAACCAGAATGGGCAGCCGTGTCAGTCTGCCCTGGCCCCACCTCAGTGAGAATTAAACATAGTGACCCTGATGGCTTTGGCCCACAGGTATGAGCCGCCGGCCATACCAGGGCACAGTTCAGCCTCCCAGGCCAGAGGAAAACAGCTGGCAGAAGGAAAATCATAGCGAACCCCCATGGGCCAAAGTCCAGGCATGGCCCAAAGGAGAGGTACCAGAGAGGCTTCTCATCCCCTCAGAAAAGTCTCAGCCCCCATAGGCACAGGCAGGCCACCCCAGGTGGGAACCTTGTTCCCAGAGACCCCTCCCTACCTTCTGGTCATATATGTTCAGGCCAGGAGGGGCCCGCACTCCAGGCTGGCTAAAGCGGGCGTTCTCGCAATCATACTCCATCTCGGGCTGGGTCAGGCTGCGGCACAACGTGCATACCCAGTCTCCCCTGCAGAGGCAAGGAGGCCACGTGAGGCCCTCCGCACATGTCCACAGCCCCTCCCTGCCCCTCTACCCCCAGACAGGCCTGGGGTGGGGGCGCCACGAGAAACCAAGTCCCCAGCCCCGCCCTACAGAGAATGGCTTCCTAGCAACAGGCTTGAAAAAAAATTCAGTTAACTCAGGATTAGTGAATCCAGAAAAACAGGAGTCAGCAAGGGGCTGGGAGAGACGTCAAGGGATAAATCTGCACAAGAGGAAGCTGGCAACAGAGGAGGAAGCTGGCCACAGAGGAGAAAGGGAAGCAGCCGCCTGTCTGTGTGCAGAAGGAGCAGAGAGAGCCACTGAGTCACAGACCTGCAGTTTACACAGGCCAGGGAGGGGAGGAAGTCGCCCCCGAGAGAGCCCTGTGGGCTGGCCTGGAACAACCTCCCTTGTTGACCATCCAGGTCAGGGCCAGGGTGGCATGACTCACCCTGGGAAGCTGAGCAGGGCTGGCAAGTGGCAGGAAAGGTGGTACACTTTGGGGCAGCGGTCACAGCACAGCAGCTCCCCCCCGTTGAGGCAGACAGCACAGAAGTCCTCATTCTCTATGGGTACTGGGGGCCCCTTCTTGGCTCCAGGGGTTCGAGGAATGAGCCTGTGTTCTTCAGGAGATGCACTCTCCACCTCTGGGGGCTGCTGCCCAGCCAGGGATGTGACAGTGACCTTTCTTCCCCCCAGATTTGGGGCCTGGATGGTATCAGGCAGGTGGTCCTGGCTGACCTTGGGGAAGAAGTGAGTCTGAGCGGTCAGAGCGAGGCACCACTTTATTGAGGGAGGGAGAGGAAAGATGACAAGTTGGTGCCTGGGCACCAACTTATTTCAGCACCCCAAACCAGCCAGCCCCAGGAACACCAGGACTGCTCAGTCCTAGCGTGCCCCTCACAGACCCCAGGCAGCAGGGGACAAGGTGTGGCCGAGCAGCAGCCCCTCTCAGAGACTCGGAACAAGGCTGGAGCCAGGATTCTGCCAGGAGCAGAGAGGAAAGAGAGGCTCCTGGGCTGGGCCAAGTTTCAAGGAGAAGACAGAGAAAAGCGGTACCTTAATGGACATGCTGGAGGACTCAGAACCGCATTCTATGATCAGCAGGAAGCTCCCATCCTGATCATTCTTCTGCGGCTTCAGCTTGAACACCGGCATCTCGCCCGAGGAGGCAGCACAGATCTTGAGCCGCTCCAGGCGCACGTAGGGAATCTTGGGCTCATTACTGAAGGGTCTAGGGCAAGAACCACATCCCTGGGTCTCGGACAGACCACATTCCTCTGGCCCAACTGCTAAGTCAAGCTCATCCATGATCTCACAACTGAACTGCTGCTCAGGAACTCCTCAGTCCAACCCTCCAGAGGCCCTTGTTCCAGCCCGCCACCAGCTCTGCCTAGTCAGGTCCCATCAGCCCCTGGGAGCCCTCTGATCAAAGGGGGACCCCTGTAGAGGGGAACTGCATCCAGAGTGCCTGCCTCACAGCACTGGACCCAGGACATCCTCCCACAACCATCCCAGACACACAACCTCACACCCACTCCGGGGTCTGAGGGCTGAAGAAGACAGAGGCAGGCAAGCTCCAGATTAAGTCATCAAGGATGCTCACTTCCTGTGCCAGTCTCCCAGGACATGAAGTTGGATGGTGGGAGAGGGATATTGGGCCAAGGGTCTGTTACCTGATACTCTGGTTCCCTTCTGTGTTCAGCCCGAGGGCTCCTTGTTCAAAATTCTCATACTCTAAGACAAAAGACAAATTCATACATACATTTATGATAACACACGCTGTCACCCACACCTTCTACTCTTATCCACTATTCATACTGCAGTCACATGCCTGTCATACCCTCTTTACTCACACTGTAATCACTCATCATGGTGACAGTACTACTCGGCTCCCTTCCTGAGGGGGGAAGAAGGCTACTTTCTTTTTCAAAGATAACACAGGTAACACTCAGAGGCTACCCAGGAGTGAGTGTTGGGTTAGGTGCTGAGGAGCCAGCGTCTCACCTTCAAAATGAGCTCAGAAGTCACTCATTCCCCATGTATATACTGGTGTCACCTGCTCTCGGGAATCATTCTGTGCAGCCCCTTCCTTATCAGCCAAGTGCTGGGATTTCAGCACAGCCTGAGAAGCCAGCTCACCTTCCGGGGGCAAGAGGCTCCCGGGAGCCCTCCCCTAGAAGTGCAGTCTGTGCAGATGGGAGGGGCAGTGGGGAGAGAGGAGGACACTAGCATGTACTGGGGGCCCACTCAGCACCGGGCACTGGCCAATGCATCTACTGACAAACAGGATTCGAAATATTTAATTGCTTAAAATTCAGGGTTGCATTATTGTGCAGTTAGGAAGAGCCAATGTGAGGGGACAAGTGGAAAAATTTCTCCATCTATTAAATACATAGGTAACAGACTGATTGTTACAAACTACACATGCATCATACACTGAACTAAGAAGGCCCTTAGCGTTCACTAGGTAGTTGCTATCTAACTTCCCAACCAGCCCTCACCTTCCCTGGAAGAAAGGTGCCTTGGCCTAGCCCCATTTGAGAATGGGTGTGGGGAGCTGAAAAGAGAATCAGAGTCAAGTCCAACCAGTCCAAATTCCCTTTACTGTGAGGCAAAAATCCACATCAAGGCCAGGTGCAAGGCAAATTCTTGTTCTACAGAATAAGTCATCAAATGATTTCACTGTAGGTATTTTTCCCAGAAGCCTATGAAGTAGCTATAATTAACTCCATTTACAGGGGGAAAAACTAAGTCAGAAATGTTAGGTATTTTGCACACATTCAAATATAAAGAGACAGAGCAGGTCAGCTAACCCAGAGTCAGACGCGCTCTTGTCCCTAAGAAGTTTTGCCAAGCCCAGCCCTTCTCTTCCTGCTTCCCCCTACCGATAACCCAGATCCCCAAACTTCTGCCTGGGGAATTTTACAAGGAGGTTAATTCCTGGCCACAGTGAGGGAAACAGAACAGGCATCAAAAGGTCAATTCTGGACAGAGAAGTGAGGTTACTTTCTGTTGAGAGAAAGACGCTGTTCCCTCAGTGTCTGCCCTGCTGACCTCTGCTTCACCTGCAGTGCTGGGCCCACCTGCTCAAGTGTGTGGGCAGCACGAAGTGCAGGCTGCCGAGTCTCACCTTTTGGGCTCTGGTACTGCTGCAGGGCCACAGGTGTGCTGACCTCTGGCACCAGTGCGGGTTTTTTCACAGAGAGGTTAATTGGCTCCTCCAGGTCTGAGGGGATAGACAAGTCCTTGGAAGCATCCAGAGCAGAGGCTGTAGGGCCTTGTCCCAGAGAGTCAGTGAAGCGGGTAGAATCCTCACTTTCCATCTTTCAAAAGTGAAAGGCCAACAAGAATCAAAGAAATCAGACATTTCCCCTGTCGCTGGTCACAGAACTGTTAAGCTAAGGCCAGAATGAGGCCTCAGGGGCCACTCTTTTGCCCAGAGTTAAGCAGAGGAAGTTAAATGGCATTTCCCCAAGACCTACCTTACACAAGGCATTCCCCAGGGAGGGGTCAGCTCCATCCCCAGGGCACAGGCCCCCTGCAGTTCGGCCAGAACCAGGATTGCAGCCAGACCCAGTCTCCAGCTGCACATCAGAAGCTGGAAGCACACTTTGCAGAGGACAGGTTGCCAGGCTTGGCACAGTGTGGGTGGGGCCAGACATCAGGTTGGGTCCAGCCTGAGAGTGATCACTTGCCAGGCTTGTGATGGTTGGGGAGGGATCACTCATTAGGCTGGGCATGGACTGGGGTGGGCCACGCACAAGGCTGGGCATGGCCGGCAGGTGACTGGCTGTCAGGCTGGTCACAGCCTGGTTTTGACCACTCCCTAGGCTGGACATGGTTGGTGGGGGGCCACTCAGCAGGCTTGGTACCCCTTGGGGCATCACTTGGGGTGGGGCAGCTGTCAGGCTGCTCTTGCTCTGCATCTGTGGCTCAAGGGTCCTCGCCAGCCTGGTAGATGACAGCTCCATCTCCAGTGTGTTGGAAAAGCCCATGATGCTCAGAGAAGTGGAATGCTACAAGAGCAAAGACAGGGGAGAGTCCAGCTGTTAGCTAGGAATGGTGGGAAGGAAAGGAGGGAGGAAGCCCGTAAGAATCCGATGCTCAGATTTCACTCTGCCTCAGAGTCTAGTAGCTGCAGGGAACTCAGACAGAACATGAAGTCCTGTTCCAATTCCCCTACACCATGGAGGTTGCTGGGCTATGACCCAGAGAGGTGGGCACAGCTGAGGACACTGGTATGCATGCGTGTGTGTGTTTGTGTGTGTGTGTGTGTGTGTGTGAGAGAGAGAGAGAGAGAGACTGACAGAGAGAGGGAGAGAGACAGCCTACCACTTGACCTGAGGGTGGTACAAACTTACACACATACATTATCAGCCACATCCCTCATCCCCATCTAGTACCTTAGCAAAGAGTCAAACTGCAGGAATACCTTTCCACATCACATGTCCCCCTGACTAAGCCACTAGTGGCCTTCCCTCCCTTCTGAGAGTCCTACAGGATACTTTCTGCTACATAAGAATGGGAGGAAGTTCAGAAGGCTCAAACCCTGATCTACCGCAGACATTCTCTGAGATAATGCCAAGGCTTGGGGAGCCCCAGTCAGTCCTGGGGAACGTCAACCCCAGAGTCTTCTCACAGGCTTGTTCAGATCAACTCCAGCACCATCAGCATTAGACTGAAGACTCTGACCAAGAGATGTGAAGGTCTTTTCTAGCCCTACTACACCTGCCAAAGCCGTTCTAAACCAGAGGCAGAGAACATCAGAGCAGCTAAATCTTAATATGGACAACTTGGACAATTAATGGGTGCGGTGATAACATTCCAACCCCCATAATTCTTTGCTCAGTTCTAACCACTTGGTGAAGTAGGCAGAAGAAAGACATACAGATTACTACACAGAACCCATTGCAGTTTTTCAGGTTGGAGAAACAGACGGATGGCAAGTGGTGGGAAGATTAGTTCTAAATGCAACCTTCAGTAATTTCTGTTTGATATCCAAGCCTTTTTTAAGACAAAAAACAACCATTTGACACCTTTTGAAAATCAAAGAGGAAACAAGGAGTAAATATCTCAAAGCTTCCAAGTCAGTATCTTAAACCTATCATTCTTTTCCCTGAGTAAGACATTCAAATTTCCATAGGAAAAGAAATACTTCAAATACCCTCTCAAGTTTCCATATTATATTAATAAAGCTATTCAACAAAGACTGTCCTCACCTCAGTGAATGTCACCCTAGTCACCCAGTTCTTTGAGTCAGATCCTAGGAGGGAGGCATCAGTGGGCACCCCGCCTCCCTCACCCAAGCTAACACCAAACCTCATCAACTCCACCACTTGAACACCTCTCAGCTATTCCCACTCTTCCTCTCTGCTGCTGGGGCCTGAGCCCGGGTTACACTTCATATTTTCCCAGACTACAATAGTAGCCTCTGCAGTGGAGAAATACTTTGACAGCACAAATCTGACCACATCAGTGCTCTGCATAAAACCATACTGCTCCCACTGTGAAAATCCCTAATAAAGTTCCCAAGGCCTTGATGCTCTGTTCTCTGTCCATCTCTGCAGCCAGAGTTCATATAATGGCCCTCTCCTATTCTTTGAGCTCCAGTCGCTCAGACAATTTTTTAGGTCCAGAATCATGACATCCTCTCCCTTACCCACTTCAGACAGATTGCTTCCTGTGGAACATTCTCCTAGCCCTGCCCCTGTTCCACTTACTTTCTGAATTCAGCTCACCTGTGAATCTTCACTCCCCTCTTTTACATTCTCATAACTCCTGTACTTCAGTCTCATAGCACAATCTATAATACTGTTTAATACATATGTCCCCCACCAAACTGTAAACTCCATTAGACTATGCGTGTGTGCAGTCACTCAGTTATGTCTGACTCTGTGATCCCATGCACTGTAGCCCTCCAGGCTCCTCTGACCATGGAATTTTCCAGGCAAGAATACTGGAGTGGGTTGTCATTTCCTCCTCCAGGGAATCTTCCTGACCCAGGGATGGAACGCTCAACTCTTGTGTCTCCTGCATTGGCAGGCAGGTGGATTCTTTACCAACTGCACCACCTGGGAAGCCCCACCACATTAGAGTATGGATTTTGTCTGTTTAGCTTGTCCAGTGTTTTCCTAGACCCAGGAACAGTGCCTGGATGAACAAATGAATTAATGAGCTAGTCACAATTTTTTTAAAACAATATTGCATGACTGTTTATTCTACAAATTGCATGCCCAATGAATAGAAGCTTAGTTCTAACAACCAAGTCTGAGTTTCTCTAAAACAATGCCCATTTTTATGTAGCTAAAATTTATTGAGAATTTATTATATACAATGCAACTTGCTAAGTGTTTTACATATATTTCCTCATTGAATTCTCACAGCAAACATTAAAGGGTTGTGAAGTTTAAAAGAAATAATCCATGTAAACATTTAGAGAAATGTCTGGCAGTGGGTACTCAACAAACCCTAGCTGCTGCTGTTGCTATACTGTTAATGTTATTATTGTTGTGGCCTTAATTTTATAATTGAGAAAAATGAAGCTCAGAGAGGCATCTGAGGTTTTTTATGTAATTGAAAACATAATTTTATAAATCTCAATTTCTATTTGTATTCATATATAGAAATACAATTGCTGTTTATATATTGAACTTGTACCCAGAGATCTTACTAAAGTCACATTGAGATCTTCTGTGCATACAAATCATGTTGCCTGTGACTAGTGAGTTTTATTTTCTCCCTTCACTTACATTTGTTTCTCTTGCCTTACTCCACTAGTTCAGACCTCCAGTATGAAGCTGAATAGAAGTAGTGACAGTAGCCATCTTACATTCCTAATCTCAAGGGGATCCTTTCACTATTCACCAGTATATTTGTCATAGGATTTTTACAGCTTTAGAATCCAGCTCTCTGGCACCAAAGCCACACTCTTCTTTCTGGCCTGTCTGCCTCTGCCCTTCTCTCTGCTCACCCTCTTCCCCTATCTCTCCCACATTCTGTTCTTCCATCTCTTCGTCTTTCCATCACCTGCCCTTTGTCTCTCTTGATTTTCTTTTCTCTTTTCTTCTCCCCCAACCCTTTTCCCTTATTACTTATTTAACTGCTTCAGTAAAGCTTATAATTCCTATTCTTAACTTTCAGTTTTAAAGGCAGATGAGCTAAACACCCTGTTTCTCTACAGAAAAGTTTACTTTTAACATGTTTCTTCATAGTTCAATGGTCTTCAATAAAAACACTTCAATTTGCTATATAGTCTAAGTCCCAAGATCAGAAAGGTGAGGAGGAAGAGGGATGGGGGAATGCTCAAACAAAATGGGATAAACTAGGTATAGAGCCCAGCTTAAGGGACTGAGGCCAGAGGCCAAGGGCTATCTCAAACATACCTGGGCCTGCATCCCTTGATGTCCCCTTGTTGTCCTAGTTATGCACTCATACAACTCTCTGATATTCTGTAGTTTCTTATCTTTGGATAAGAATATCCAACAATCATTGTATTTCCTTTTATACACGATTGTCTAATCCTTTGAGCTGGATACTTTGACCGTCTCCCTATTTGACATGTATATTTAATGCAATCATCTCATCTACCAATGACACAGATAGTGTCATTAGTGAAATCCTTGGTGCCAAGCCTCAAGAGCACCAAAACCCATCTGGAACCATTCCAGGTACCAGATGGTCAGGGGCTGTACGTCACAAGATATACATGAGATTAAATTCCCAAAGACAAAACCTTCCAGATTAGGAGTAGAGGTCACATTTGTAGGCTATCAATTCTCCTTATTACATACCATGAAATGTGAGTTAACATAATGATAAAGGAGAGAGGGCATGCAGCTTGAGCCATGGACGAATTGTGGAAACTCTGTTGCGGTTTATTTTGAGCTGGGCCTGCTGGACTTGCTCCCACAACACCTAGCAGACAGCATGAGGTTAGTAACTTGTCCTGATACTGAACACTAGACTGATCTCTTTGCTGTTCATTTCTGTAACCAATCTCAAAAAGGCCAAGGCTATCAGGAGTGGTATGAAGCTCTGGTAACAGTAACAAGGACCTGGGGAATGTATATGGGGAAATTCTAAGAAGAGACTCAGAGAAAGTGCATTATGAAAGTTGGCCTCAATCCTGTTCTATAGGCTATGCAAATACAGTGGCATTTCTGAAACCTATCCTGTATGTTACTTATTTTTGATACTTCATTTGGCTCTCTGGAATGAATACAAAATATTAACACAAAAAGTCCTTATGTCATGTACAGAAAGAAAGAGGGGAGTTGAGATCCTCTATCCTACCCTGCTACAAGGTGAGTAGGGGCAAGGGGAGGGCCAACTTTCAGGGCCAGGAAAGCAGGCTGAGTCGCCGGGGCCTGTAAGGAAGGAAAGGTCTTCTCAGGAACGTGCTATAACTGGAGAAGGGCTTGTGAGTATGGCCAAGTTGTCCGACATTTGGTGTCTCACACACAGGAGAAGCTTATATGTCAGTGGAGAAGGTGCTATCTGCCCTCTCTAGCACCTGGGATTGTTCAGAGGTCAAATGAGAGAAGATGAAAGTGTATGGCCAGCTGGAACATCTGTGCAGGGCAATCACTGACACCTCCCAGATTAACTGACACCTTGAATTCATCTTCGCATATAAAACCTCAGACTTCATCAGTGAGCATATGTATTTTGAGGTTTGCAAGTAAAAATAAGCTATTTTCTAGTTCAAGGAGAAAAGCAAAAAATGCAAAAACAAAAAACCTCTGAGAATCAGCTCAGGTCATTTCTGACATATGAAGGGCGCTCTCTCTTACCTCCATGACCTAGTATCTCCTCACTTGCCCCTAATTTGGTCTCCTCTCAAATTATATGTCCCTATCCCTTTGCTCTCCTTTTCTCTTAATCTTTTTATCTCTGTTTGCAACCTGCCTGACCTGTGACCTATCTAAATTGTATGAAATTTCAACCTCTTCTCCTGGTCACCTTTGTAGTCCTTTACCCATCTGACCTGTTCATCTGTGCTCTGTTACCTGCTGCC